ATAGCGTTAAAAAACATTATTAATAAATATGATATAATAAAGAAGTACTTTTTAGAGTACAGATACAGTGCATAATAGATTAATAAAAAATACAAAAATGAATAAAATGCAAACAGAACTGAGCAGTGACTGGTGATGAAGCACATTGTGTAAATGCATAGCTGAGGTTTGACTCAGACTGTATCTTATGTAAAATCAGAAGTAACAGCAGGTCACATGATCGTTAAGGAATGGGCCCGAGGGCTTTCTGAACCAGTGATTATCCCAACCAGTCAGTAAGTTCACAGTTTGGCAATTGAACTTGGCTCGTAGAAGTTGGGGAATTAACCGTCAGCCACATGACGCTGATATGTATCATTAACATGTCAACTGTTTGTAAAGCAAGGCTAGCTCTGTGCCAACTAATTGAAAGATTTGCATCGGAAACAATTACAGAACGTGATTACAGGTCAGGTTGGTTCGTTGGCATTTGTCTTTATGATTCCTTATGATTTCCTCGTAAGCACAAGCTAACAATTAAAGTTTGTCTCAAATATTGCCGTTTGTTCCCTATCGTTTCTAGATGAAATAATGTAATGAGTGATGAGCAGTGGCGAGCCGTGAGCTTTATACCGAGGCCCTCTGACCCCCACCCCTTCCCTCGAAAAAAAGAAAAAAAAATAGTTATTAGTCACAGCGTATACTTCAGCGGAATATCAAAACAACGGCCCAGGGTGCAAAACGCATCAATGACAGCGTCCCTCTACCACACAAAACAACACCTGTGAACCCAATTTGTGTTCTTTGAAATTGAAAATGATATTGCATTGTGTTTGTTACTTTCATTGCCGTTGTATGTCTTAAGTGTAATTTGGCATGCTTTTATTTTGAAGGCGAGTTCACGCTGTTGACAGGAAGTTGTTGTTGCTATGGAAACAAGAAAAGTTTCACAGCGGGCGGAACTTGTCATCTAGTCCGCGATAATAAAACCCACCCATTTAGAGGGAAGATATGATTGGTCAATTGTACTGTCATTTGACATTACTCTCTCGTTCAGTTACTATAGCAACCCTCTGTGAATCGCAGAGAGGGCCAGACGAGCTTCTTTCATGTAACCCTTCACATTCAAACAGAGACTGAACAGGCAGATTCGAAGGATTTATTTATTTGGAAATGTTATTTTATTAAATCAAGTTTTTTTTCGGTAAAACTAATGAAAGTTATAACAAAAATAATATTAAAAAAATATATATTTTAAAAAAATATTTTTTTTTTTAATGTTTTTAAATATTTTTTTTTGGAATATCTTAGGCCCTCACAGAGGGCCTAGAGGGCCCTGACGGCTCGCCACTGGTGATGAGTTACCTCCTCAAAAATGTCCTGCATAAATCAGATATCTTATGTCATGTGTTTGCAAACAATAGATCAGCCAACACAAGTATTCCTCTTCATGGTGGACGAACCCAACAAACCCCAAAGAGCGTGGATCAAACAACCGGGCCTCAAATCCAACAGACTTATTCAATATTTGTATTGGGGGGCCAGATTTAAGGGCCAAGGGACTGGCTCATGAAGCTAGGAATCTAAATGTGAATGCAGGGCTTCTTTAAGTCTTAGAAATAAGTTGTTGTTTTGACATTTGACATTTTTGTATCTAATTAGCCATTGTGTAGAATGACTTCTAATGTTTTCTAATTACATAACGATGAACTGTGATGTTAACACCCACAAACTTAAAATTAAGCAGGACATTTAGCATTTGTTCAACATCTAAACCAGGGGTGTTAAACATACGGCCCGGGGGCCAATACTGGCCCGTGGAATGACTTCCCAAAGTGTAAAAATGTAGGAAGAATTTTGGTTTGGTGGAACCCTTGTGTTCAAACACTGCGACAACTTTTATGTCATTTTGTATGAATAGATTGTATTTATAATGCAGGGGGATAACTTAACCTTTTTCCTTAATAGTCAAGATTCAAGGTTTTATTGTCCTGTGCACAGCAGCTAGAGTGTAGATATGGCAATGTATCTAGACTAGTACCTAGTACTAGTACTAGTACTAGTACTAGTACCTAGTACTAGACTCCTTGTACTAGGATGGGTTAAAAGCAGAGGCCAAATTTCACTGTGTGTGCTGTGTGCTCTGCATGTGTGACCATTAAAGAGGGTTTCATCCCTCCCTATTCTATTATATTCTATTCTAAAGTCCCAGGCTCCTCCAACAGAGCAAGATGAATATTCTGTATAGGACAAAAAGATAAAATAGTGCAAGAGAATGTTTTGAGATGTGCAAGTAAATACAAATAAAATAGTGCAGGAAGAGTCTATATACAAGTAAATGGAATATGATATATAGATAAATAAGATGCAAACAGATGAATGTTATGGATGTTCTTTAAAAAGTGCAGGAGTTTAACAGTCTTCTGGCCTGTGGGAAGAAACTGTCCCTGAGTCTGGTGGTTTTAGTCCGGATGCTGTGGTACCGCCTGCCAGACGGCCACAGACAGAACACTTTGTGGCTGGGGTGATGGGGGTCTTTAGTTTGTTAATTTAGTTTGTATTGTGGTGTGTCAGTATTACTACACAGATGTTGACAAGTTGTTTTGATCCAAAAAGTAAAGTACTATATCGTTCAGCTCCAGATACCGATGACTAATTGTTTTTGTTGACACACTGTGATCTGTAAGGTGTAATTAATGCACGTGTGTAAATGGAAAACTGAGGCATAACAGTTTTGAAATTGCACTTATTTTTCTTGAGAAACGTCAAGTTGTTCATAATGTTTTGTAAAAAGAAAGTTAATGAAATGTGAACATTTTCAGAAAGTACTTTTTTGCACTGAACCAAAGGGAACTATTTGGAGTTATTGTTATTTATAGGTTATTATGCTGTGATTGTACTGGTCCGGCCCACTTGACATAAAATTGGGCTGTATGTTGCCCCTGAACTAAAATTAGTCTGACGCCCCTGATCTTAACACTCAAATGTAAGAAATTACACGGTTTGGATTCACCAAGAACTGAAAGGCTTAGTTTGTGAGTGACCATTTGCTCGTTATAATTGTAATTATGTGTGAGAAACTGAATATATGTACAGGTTGAAGCCAGAAAATGTCCAACCTTCTCACATTTGGGAATTTCTCTCTTGATAAATTATATCTTTTTAATCGTACTTTTAAAAAGATATTCATGAAATAATCATGGAGTAGATTGAAGTCGTTGAAACCCAGACATATGTCGTACCTTTTTACCAAACTTCTTTACTTTGATTCGATTGGTTAAGAGTTACTTTGCAGGTTCATATTATTAATAAACAGTGGTGTAAAGTATATTTACTCAAGTACTGTACTTAAGTCAAATGTTGAGGTACTTGTATTTTACTTGAGTATTTCCATTTGATGACAAGATCTGAGTACTTCTAATTTTACTCAAGTACAAGATCTGAGTACTTCTCCCTCCTCTGTTAATACAATACATGAATCAACTAGTAAAGCATGATGTATATTACAGATGTCAGCGGCCGCTCCCAGCTCTTTATAATGTTTTCTTTAAAACATGACATCGCTATGACAACAACGTATCCCTGCTGTCTTAAGACTACCATGGAGTGTATCATCTGTGTTTGCACAATGAGCACCAACCACAAGACTCTAGCAGTTTGTCTGAATGCACTTCTCACCATCAGGTTGACAGGTTTAGAGCGATGTGGAAGAAGATAACAGATCTGCTCCAACAAACAGGCGTTTTGATCTTTGGTATGATAGTGTCCGTCTGACAGACATGGCCAAAACAAACTTTTCAGTGACGTGCCCGGAGCTTCAACTCTTAAGGTCGATTTTTTTCGCAATTCAGAGTGCTTTACCAAAGTAAAGACATTGAGAGCATTAAGAAATAGTGCAGCGGCATTTAAAAACAGTCATTAAAAAGCATAGAGAATAACATATACAGAAAAGAAGCTAATATAGAATAACACAGGTATAAAATACATGAATAAAAGTTACAGTGCATTCAAAAAAGAAAATTCTGAAGCCTTTTTTTGTTGTTGCAGCGGACCTGCATGTTTCTGGGAGTTTGTTCCAGATGTTTGGAGCATAATAACTGAAGTGCTTATACAATGTTCCTTAACTGTGTGTTTTTCTGTCTCTTCCAGGGACCCACACCTGCAGGACTCACAGTCCACCTCCAGCCTGCCGTCTTCCAGCCTGCCGTCTTCCAGAGCCTCCTTGGAGACATGCAACCCGATAGAAAGACCTTCCCCAGTTTTGCTTCCCTCCGGCCAGGAAAAAGACCTCCCCGTCCCCCCCTCAGCCTTTAGACCCAGCCTCAGGAACCGCTCCCCCTCCCCTGTTGGATCTCCACCTCCCTCCTCCTTCAGATCTCCTCCCTGCTCCTCACCCTTCAGGGTAGTTTCATCAGCATCTTCTCCGACCCCTGAAGACACCTCCACTTTCTCCAGAGCTCCTCCCTGTTTCTCGATGCGATCTCCCCCTTCTTCTTCTCCTCCTACACCCTCCTCTGCTTTCACTCCCTCTTCTTCAGGGAGGTCTTCATCCCTACGAGCCGCTCCTCCTTCCTCCCCTACACCTTCTTCTTTACGCTCTCCCCCATGCTCCTCGCCAATTGCTTCTTCCTCTTCTTCTTCTTCTTCTTCTTCTTCTTCTGTATTCACCAGATCCTTAGCTGCCTCCTGTATTAGCCAGTCCATCAGTCAGATTATCGCAAAAAATACCCTGCAACAAATGAACACCGCTAACCAAACCCCCGCCTCCACCTCTTCCTTACCTTCCTCTCATTTACGCCGGCGCTCCCCTTCCCCTAAACAGCAGGGCTCCG